TTGCATATATTTTGTACGTTAAATCCTTTATCTCATGCTACACGTGTCACCTAATGACCATGGTAGCACCTAATTTTCACACTTTAGGGCTATGGAGCGATCATTCAGCTTACAATTGTTTTGCCCTCAACTATTCACAAAGCTTCAAAGCGCAGTAAATGAAAAGGTGAACCAGAAGAAAAGAAGAAATTGAAGCGGAAAAAGGGAAGAAGAAAACAAGCAAATTCGATAATGGCGATGGCAGCGCGTTTTAGATCTGGCCTTCCTCTCCTCCGCCGAGCCTTTGCTGCCGGCAATCTCTCAGCTGCCGAGAGATCCGTCGCTCCGATGGCCGGCATCTGCCCGACTATCTCGAAGCTTGAGGTACGTAAGATATTAAATTTATGTACTCCAGCTTTTTTGCTTGGAAAGGATTGCTTTCATTTCTGTCTCGTTTCGTTCTTCGTCGATAGTGTTTTTAGGTTTTGACCATTTCGCGGTACGGCATAAGAATGCGTACGTGTTCACTGTTAACAGTACTTTTCGTCTTGATTTATATGATTTCCCCTTGAAATGCTTCTGAATCGCTTTTTTTGCCTTAATTTTTGTTGGTATGTTTGTTGAAATGTTGCTTTTGTTTCTACCGATTACTAGAGGTTAATCTTTAGGGTTTTCTCCATCAGCGACTGGTTCAATTTGTTGAAAATATATTGCTTTGTGAAGCTTTAATTAATCTGACACATTTCTAGTTATACATTATGTTCAAGCAAAAAATTGGTTTTATATATGGGTCGTTAATTGGAGTATTGTGATTATTGCATGTATATATGGTGGAATTGGATTCTTACAAGCTGGTTGTATGCTTTTCAGTTTGCAAGAAGTTATGCGAGTGGTCCTTCCGAAAAACAGCAGAATGTTAAGGTAAATTGTCTTATGATTTTTTCATATTTCTTTTGGGGGTAATAAATTAGAAGGATTGCATGTTCATGTTTATATGCTAAATCAAATAAAGCTGGCTCCATAAAGAGTAAAGACTTGCTAATTGCTAGCATATTATGGATCTTTGATAAATCAGTGGTCGTCAATCAGTAGAGTCCACTACTGTTTTCTGTATGACCTGGATGGATAGTGATATAGTTATTATCATTTTCAGTCTGGCTATCTCAAAATGTGTTGAAAGTTGTCTTCTTGTTATAAATTCTGTTGTCCTTTTAGCAAAACTTATCCCTACATGATTTTCATTACAAGCCATTACAGTATTCGTGCACAGCAAATTTGGGGTGTCAAACCTGATCGTGTTTATTGTCTTGTTATCAGTAATCATACTTTTGGTGTATATTTCTCTGTACTCGTTGGAAAAAAAAGAATAGCTACTCTGGAGCCTTCATGTTCTAATTTAGTTTATTGCATTTCAGGTTCCTTTGAAATTGTTTGGTGTCTCTGGGAACTATGCCTCAGCTCTATACATTGCAGCAGTTAAAGCCAATGTGCTTGACAGGGTTGAGACTGAGCTGAATACTTTAATCCAGGCGTCCAAGAATAGCCCGACATTTTCTCAATTCATGAAGGATTTATCAGTTACTGCAGATACAAGAGTGAAAGCTATAAATGATATTGGTGCTCGAGCTAGATTTTCGGACACCATGAAGAACTTCTTGGGTTAGTTTTTTTACATGTGGATGTTCCTGTTGCTTTTGATTATGAGTTGCAATGTTTGTCCAGCCCTTGAATCAAATGGCTGAGATCACGTTTTGGATGCTAAATTTATTAAATCGTCGGATGTCACCTTGCACGTGATCTTGATGTATACTTGATTCCCAATTATCAATAAATAACCACCACAATTTAGCTGCCAGAGAATTACTTGGTGTTGGTAGATTCTGTCTGCTCAATTATGATGGTGGTATAGGAGAGGTTTTGAGAGTGGGAAATTAAAGTGCTCTTGCTAAAGGTAACAAATGAAAGTAGGTTGTTTCTTTTGTTATGGGGTTGGGGTTGGGGTTGTTCCATGAAAGTGTTCTGTGGTTTAATGAGTGAAGATGCTTGAATAGGCGAAAGGAGTTCCCTGAATATGGTTAGCAAAAACAAGTAGGTAGTGGAGGGGTTCGATACAGATAGCTGATAAGAATGAATTTCATGCCATGATCCTCAAACACATGTAACTGCAAAATGCTTGTACGTGTCCGATGGCCAGAAAAGCCTGGAATAATCTCGTTAGTTATTAATAATTGTCTTCAGCTGTGTCCAACCTGAGAAAGTTATTTCATTTGAAGTAGTACATTATGATGAAGAGCATGCTCATGAATCATCACAGAACAAGAATTTATTCTTCATGAAGGCATCGTCACCTCTAGATTATTGAGTTATTGAGTTTGCTGCTTGACAGCATTTACTTGACTAGGAATATCATGGTGTATGGTTTAATATCATGCATATGGATTGCGATGTCAATCTTTTATTGATGTATACTTTTTTGGTCTTCACTGGATTTTATTTGTTGATGTATATGATATTATAATCACTTCCCTAGCTAGACGTGTTCATGGGCAACTTGTTCTTCATCTTTCAGCTATTGTTGCCGAATCTGGGAGGCTGGGTCACTTGGAACGTATAGTACAGAGATTCTCTGAGCTGACTATGGCTCATAGGGGAGAAGTTAAAGCTACAGTGACCACTGTGATTGTAAGTTCAACTCTTGAAGTTCAATTCTTTGCGCTAGAGATATGGTTTGCAGGGATTCACAGATAATAAATACGAAGAACAGCAGACAATTGAACAACCATCTTCGTATTGCCGTTCTCATTTCGCTGTCTCGAGTAGTCAAACATTACTTGTTGAACACCCTAGATGGTTTAATGTAAAACTCTACAGTAGATAGTATTTAATTAAATGTGTTACTAGTAGTTCTAGTGGCAATATATCAAAAGGAAATGGGAATCGTGTCTTATACTATATACGAAGGATTAGCTTTAAGGTGATTCATGAAGGCAATAGTGGAATGACAATATATACAGACTGTTCACTATAATATCCAGATATGTTGAAACAAACCACTCATCCATCACCACAGTATTTAGTTAGGAGCACAAAAATATTTATACGCCACATCTTCTTCTCGTTCCATGTACTGCAATCTGATCACAATCTCAGCTTCTTTCTCAAGTGAGATGAAGACACAATAGGAAAAGGTTTAGTTGACATTCCACTAAAGAATCTCTTCTTAGAAAATGGTTGATTAAAAAAAAAAAATAAAAAAAAATAACTATTTTACTTATGTCTCACCTTTTCTCCCTAGCTCATGCCCATCTAAGCAACTTCTTAAATAAAACCAATTACTAGTACGCTTCTACGAAATGCAGTATCCATCCATCACAAATACTACTACCAATCATTTTTAATCGTTACTATTTATATATCTCAGTAGGTTCTTGTGAATCCTTTAACTCTTTCCCCCATCTTTTCATCACTGTTCTCTAGTTTTAATGAAAGTGTATCCAATCCGTATGATTCATTTTTGTCCAAAAAGTTAAAATGAAAAAGTGGAATAACAGGAAAGTGATAATGGATTGAAAATTTTTGGAGATTGATTTTTAAGCACACCATTATGAAGTATCTATTATGCTTGGGGGGGTCCTATTCCTGTGGGTATTTACATGGTTTTGCAGATTTAGATTTAATCTAATTACATGGTCTTTGGCATTTTCATGATTTTGCAATAATTTATTTTTTCTATTTGCATGTTTTTGCAACTTTATAGTAAGCTAGTTATCCTTGAACCTGTTACTCCAATTTCTTTTAACTTGATTTTGTGTGCACCACTTTGACTGGCTTGATTGCGGCTCTCTACGATATGCCTCTGAGCGTATATAATTGCACACTACATATGTTTGGAAGTTTTTAGGGTCGATAATATCTACTTGCGAAGTCTATAGATTTGAAAACTTGATGTGCAATCTTCCGTCCAGTATACCGTATACGAACTCTATGCTCGGATCATGGTTACCTTCTGCCTTTATCCAGCACATAGTTTTCTGTTATTTTTTGCTTATATTTTCTGCTCCTTTTTCTCGTTTAGCATATCCTGAGCTCTTGTTTTTGCAGCCTTTACCTCCAGAAGAGGAGAAAGAACTGAAGGAAACACTGCAGGATATACTTGGACAGGGGACAAAAGTTAAGGTTGAGCAGAAGGTACATGGATACTAGTCTCATTTAAAATTAAGTCTTGAACCACAAAACTGTTCGTGATGGTTAGTTTATTTGTAGAACACCTGTCCATGCTCCATGGTTATAAATATTCTTTTCATCTGTTTCTATTTTACAAATTGCATACTCAAGAGATTGTTGATAGTTAATCAAAAACTAAAACCTCAAGGGGGTGTCGAACTAGCATATTCGTACTAGCTTAAGGCGCTCTCTTTAAATTTGAAGTCGAACATTTTTTTCTGTATTCCTGAAAAGTTTGGTTATGTTAATTACTTTAAGTGAAGCAACTGCTAAACGTCTGTAATTTGTTGGTACTTCTGCAGATCGATCCTAGTATTCTTGGTGGGCTTGTGGTGGAATTTGGGCAGAAAGTGTTTGACATGTCCATAAAGACCAGGGCTGCCCAGATGGAGCGATTCCTACGCCAGTCTATCAACTTGGATGGCCACTAAAAATATTTATGCTTTTCAACTCGAGCTCGCATCTCGTTTGCTGCAGTTATTTTGTAGTCAGTTAATAACGCTCGTTTTCCTTAACGTTGTTGCAGTGCTGATGCAAATAAAAAAAGTACCGAGTCTTTGTTCTTTTTCGACAAGATTCCTTTTTACTGCACATTAAATCTCATATCATTTGGGAAGACCCTTCGTTTTTTGATGAAAATTGCAATGTTCTAAGAACACTGGGAGTGCAGTTCTAAATAGTTTTACTTGAGATAATTCGAAGTGGATCATAGTTTAACTATATTTTAATTTAATGCCCTTGGGGAGTATACAGTGAGGAAGGACAAACTCCCTAAGGGAGTTTTCATGTTTTGTATCATTAATCTTCACGACAACTGTAAATTAC